CACACATACACACACACACACACAGACAACCCCGTAACAATATGCGTTTTTTACTGCTGTTGCACAGCACAAAACGCATAAAAACTCCATCACTCGACTATGATATGACCTTATGAAGCATAACAGCCAGAAAAACAATGAACTGAACGTCGGTTCGATTTGTTGCTGATGCACTGCCCAGAGCGATTCCGTCCGCTGAAACATTTCGGCTTTACCAGGAGGTCGTTGACGATTTGACAGAAGCCAGTTTTATTACCTACAATCAGTAGTGGCTACCAGATCTGCTGCTGGAGAAGCGGGCAACAAGTTCTGCTTTCTTACAAACCTTCTCTTGCCTGCTCATTATCTCCCTCACAGCTCCAGGACACTAACCCAGGCGCTTGTTTACTTCCTCTGGAATTGCTCTAAATGGTTCAGGACAAGACGGCATGGCATATATGTGCAAGGCTCATACCGATATGTATACACTGGAATTCCACAGAACCAAGATAATAATTCAGTTAGATTCTAAATACTTAAATTATTGCGGCAACGTCATCGTTATTATCACGCTGATGATGTGCAAACAGGGCAATCTCTTCTAGAAAAGTCAACCTATTGCAAAATATCAGGAGAGAGTAAAAGAAAGCACTAACCAGCAGCATGCACAACTAAGCCGATCGTTGCAGTCAGCTTGTACCGTGAACGTTCGCCACCTAAAATTAGCGAACAAAAAGGTCAAAAGACACAGAAATGAAAGAAGTTACAAACTATGGAGAGATGACCGACTGACTGTCTCACTGTTTAACTCGTTCATGCATTTGCTTAAAGCATACGTCTAAATCACTTTTTTGAATCTGGTCTTCCTGTGTGAGCACGTGTAATTTTGGTGCCATCTACAAGCAAATAGGGAAGCCAAAACAAGAAGAAAGATATTTCCGCTTTCTTTGGCCTATCCTGTTTTTTTAAAAAAAAATTATAGTTTTCGATTTCAACACTCCTTAAAAAAGCCCGCAAGCCGGAAGGGCGGAAGGTAATTCAAGTAAAAAATACTCTTTTTTTTCAAAACAAATAACACCGACCACCAGCTGACTACTGCGCGCATGTATTTTTGCAGT